CATTTTGTTCAAACAGATATTACCCTCAAAAATTAAAAATAATTCTACTTTATCAATGAAAAATTTACTTAGCTCATATATTCCATATAAACAATTAAAATCATTCATTTTTAATGTTCTTAAAGTATTTATTGTCGACTTTAATTGATGTAATTTTTTATGTTTAATTTTAATTGTTTAATAAACGTTTATCAAATGTTAAATTACAAACGTTTATTAAACATTTATAGTTAAACGTATAATAAACATTAAAAATTAAATATTTAAAATTATACATTTAAAAATTGAACCTTTAAAATTTTAACATTTATAAAACGTTTAAAAATTTAACCTTTAAGATTTTTACATTTATTAATCATTTATAAATTAAACGTTTATTAAATATTTAAACATAAACATTTAAAAATTAAACTTTAAGAAATAAACATTTATTAAATTTTTAAAATTTAAACGTTTTAAAATTAAATATTAATAATTATTTATAAATAAATATTTAATAAATAATCTTTTAAGATTTAAACGTTTATTAAACTTTTTAAAATAAACAATTAATATACATTTAATATTTGAACGTTTTTTAAACATTTAAAATTTAAACGTTTATTAGACGTTTTAAAATAAAATATTTAAAAATTAAACGTTTAAATATGAAACATTTAATAATAGTATAAAATTTAAACATTTATTAAACGTTAATAAAAAAATTAAATATTCATTATACATTTTAAAATAAAAATTTAAAAATTAAACTTTAAGATTTAAACATTTTATAAACAATTAATAAATAAACGTTTTTTAAACATTTTAAACTCAAACGTTCATTAAATGTTTAATAAACATTTAAATGAATTATCATTTATTAAACATTTAGAAATTTAATGTTTATAAAACATTTAAAAATTAAACATAAAAAATTTAAACGTCTACTAAACATTTAAAAATTGAACCTTTAAAATTTAAACATTTATAAAACGTTTAAAAAATTAACTTTTAAGATTTTTAAATTTATAAAACGTTTAAAATTAAACGTTCATTCAAGGTTTTAATATTAAATATTTAATAATAATTTAAAATTCAAACATTTATTAAACATTAAAAAAATATATGTATAAAAATGATATATTTAGAATTTAAATATTTAAAGATTAAACATTATGAAACATTTAATAAATAATTGTTTTTTAAACATTTAAAATTTAAACGTTTATAAAACATTGAAAATTAAACATTTAATAATAATTTCAAATTTAAACGTTTAAAAGTGAAACACTTAAAACTTAAACGTTTATTCAATTTTTTTTTTAACTTATAAGGGATTTTTTTCCTTTTCATTAATAATCCATGTCTCGCAGCCGTAAAAAGCAACACTCCATACAAACGTTTTTAAAAATGTCTTCTTTATTGCTCCGCTAATTTTTTTTCGAAACCAAAATTTTCTTTTTCTTGATAAAGGCTGTTCATTAAATATTTAAACATAAAACTTTTATAAACATTTAAAAAATTAAATATTTAAGATTTAAACAATTAAATTTTAAACGTTTATTAAGCATTTTATAATTAAACAATTAAAATTTAAACATTTAATAGTAATATAAAATTGAAACCCTTAAAAATTAAACATTAGTAAACATTTATAAATAAACGTTTAAAATTAAACATTTAAAAATTAAACTTTAAGAAATAAACATTTATTAAATTTTTAAAATTTAAACGTTTTAAATTAAACATTAATAATTATTAATAAATAAATATTTAATCAATAATATTTTAAGATTTTAACGTTTATTTCACATTTAAGAATTAAACCTTTAAAAATGAAACATTTAATAATAATATAAAAAGTTTTACAATATTTTTCTAGGGGCGCACAATGTGACATTATGTGTATTTTGTCAGTTTTTCATATCCTATTTTTTAAATTACTCGACGCTTTTGTTTTCAAATCATCGAAATTGTTAAAAGTTTGCACATTAAACACACTCCACCGAATTTTGCACGCACGTCGTAAAACTATAACTCGTAATTTTGATTTCTTGATAATTCTTGATGATTTAAAAAAAAATTAAGCAAAAGTTAATCACATCTTTTTCATAATTTATATATAGTGGTATATTTTTTGTGTTTATTCATAAAAGCTTTAAATCTAACATAAAATTGTGCTGTTTAGAATTATTTCCTTTATACAATAGATGGGTCGTCTTCCAGATAAAGAGTTACAAGAATATTTAGATAGGAGATATCATCACCTTAAAGTGATAAGGTTCTAACATGAAATAATGATTTTTTAGTAGACAGTTTTTGTAAATGAAATTATCACACAGTGTATAGAACTTTTAATTTTGTATTTAAATTATAACGATATACAATAATTGTAATGACTTTATTATAAATAATGCATATTAAATTTTTAAAAAAAATGTCGATACCTTTTTATTCTGAAATGACGAAATATTATTTTACAATATAGCTTAAATACTTAAGTACTCTGTTTTGATAAAAAGAATTTCTGGTCCTAGGATTTTGTTAGATTTAATCCCCGTACTCGAGGAAAATAGACTATTCTGGGGTCTCTGGGATTCAGAGGGGGCTTAGTCCTCCCTAATTCTGTTATAGCTTCCAAATTATTATGAATATGTATTTATATAGAAATATTTCTTGGGGATGGAAAAATGAAGTTGGATCACCTAAATATCTTGTTCAAATTACACCTATTTTAGTCGTGCACTGTACTACTTACAGGTAAGATTTAATCAAATTTTATGAGGCCACAGTAATTTTTAATACATAAATAATTTACAACACGGATAAGTACTATCTAAATAAAATATTGCTGTTTTATTGACAAATACAATGGTCATTTTATAATAGTTGAAACATTTTATTTTAAACGACAAAATATACTAATATTTTTCTATATTATTAATGTACATATATTTATGTATTATATAATATTACTATTTAACCTATCTAATTTTTCTTATTTATTACAACACATGACAATAACATACTTTAGTGTATGAAAGAATCTAATTTATATATGTTTGCTTTATTATGATAGTTTTTAATTAAATGAGTGGTATGATATAAGTGAGTGTAATGTTAAAGGATAATATTTCAAGGGGCATTTTTTAAAATGAAATTTTCTAACATTACCACGGTTTACTCAGTAATTAAGAATGACGGACAGTAAATATTACTTTAAAACTTATATTTAAAATTACAGTATTACAACATAGTTTCAATAGAAAAAAAGTTAAATGATTATAAAAGCCATGAAAATCAAAATTTTAATATCATTATGTAAGGTGCTTATTAAAATGTGTAAGGGCCCCTCAAATTTTGTCTTATTAAAAATTTGCCTTTAGACACAATTATTTATCGGTATTCTTGTTTTGGAAATTAAGTGTTTTTATGAAATTTACAAAATCAATACGGCATTTGTATTTTTAAAGAATACGGTAAGTAACTATTGTATTTATAAACTTTGTTATAGAAAAATAAATATCAGAATTTTCCACATATTTATTTATAAAAATTAACTTCAGTGATAAATTGCAAATAGTAGTTATTGCAGTTTGGAATTTATCGCAAATATCAAAGTTTACTTATACAAGAACTACTCTGTATTTTTACACGCATGTAACTTGATTAACTATTATCGTACATCTTAATAATTATGTATAAATGGTCTAGAATTAAAAGAGTCTATTTACCAATTCCTTACTTTTTAGGATAACAGAATACAATTTTTTATACATATGCTTTAAAAAAAATACATTTGTACATTAAATAAAACTAAGTTCAATTATCACTATAAGTACACTGTTTTCATATAAATGAATACACAAAAAATATAATAGTAATGGTTTATGTTAGAAAATAAATGTGAAAGCCTAATATTGATTGGTACACTCTTTCAATCTAAGGTATATATAATAGAGAGATTATAAATATCCTTACATATTTAAGATTAATATTTGATTTGAGTTTGATTTATGTATTATATTAAAGATTTGGAAATTTTACTAACATTACTGACTAAATAGGTCTAGCCTGACATATTTGCTACATAGAAGTAGAAAAATAGTGGTATTAAATGAAAATACCATTAATTATTTTTGTTTACATAGAATTTTATCATCTAGAACAATTGGAGTCTAATATATTCATATGTTTTATTCAATGCTCGTTACTCTAAGATAAGATTATATACAAACAACTACAAAATATAATTGACAATTTGTTTAAAAGTAATTATTGTTTTAACCTTCTATTTATGCTACGTAGGATATGTACTTAAGTAAAGTGAGAAAAATAAGAAGTTATTATCCTTAATAGTCTTAATATTAATAGTTATTATCAGTGCCATATTTAGGATCTGTAGACTATATAAAAGCCAATGGTACGTATCTAAACTTATGTCTTGAGATGACTACTACTTATAATGAACTTGTACAACAAATAAAAGAATTCAATAGCACTAATTTTTATAATCAAACAATTTTATAGTCACTTAAAGTCACTTTATAGTCATTTAAAGAAATATTACGATTTATAAAAAAAATTTCATTTGTTTTTTCAAGTAAAAAATTGATATATTTAAAAATATTGGTAAATAGTACTTTTTTTGGCTTCAATCTTAAATGTTAGCATTAAAATACGTCACTGAATATAATAGTAATCTTAGAAATAAAATACAATTTTTATATACAAAGCTATATTATATTATATTTATTATTGCCCGTTCTTTCACTTACTGTCTAATATTTATAAATAAATTTGATAATTGGTACTTTTTGTGGTAACTTGTCCTTTCTGCTCAAACCCATTTATTCATAATTAATTCATTATTTTTACTATTTTATAATAGTAAAATGATATAATATGAGTTAGAATATGTGGTGTGTTAAATTTTTATAATGATCACACTATAAATCTTTATTCTATAACGAAATGTTAATTAATGCACCAAGAGAGGATTGAAAATTAAACAAANCGAAATGTTAATTAATGCATCAAGAGAGGATTTAAAATTAAACAAATTCTTCTCAATTGAACGTCACTAAAGAAACTAAAGTAAATGCAAAAAAAAAATTAATAATCTTATATTATTTTTTGCGACGTATGAAACCTGGTGAAATATAATTTTGGTTAATGGTCCCATGTCCATTTCTGCATTCGTCAGACTTATATTAACTTAATGATTGTTGTTTGGCATTTTTTCTAATTTAACAATTGAAAACCCAGATGACCTTTACGGTCTTATGAATAGATATTGCTTTTCTCCAGTTTCAAATAAAAAACGATCCACGTAGTTTTGCTCGAAGTGGATGTGTATATTGGGTGTGATGAACAACATTTACCGGTTGTTTGGTAAGATTTGCCAACATGCAAGCTAATGATAACTCCAATGACCTGATCATAGTCTGTAATATAACCCAACACCATGGCCTTTTATGAGAGTAAACACCTTAAAAAAACACAATTTATATTATTAACATTTTTTTTTTACTATTCAGTTGGAGTGAACAGATTAAGGTTTGGACTCTTAAAGAAAAATTTTAAAAAAATTAGAGTGAATGAATAGAAACAAAAACTTTTAGTAATTTAATTTTATCTTAAAGTAAGCATGTGCTTATAATTTTATTCATAAAGTATACTGAAATCGTTACCTAAATTACTCAAATCATATAGTGCAAGTTAATAAAAAATCAAGTCAAACAATTACAATCGACTCATACTTAATAAAATGATTAACAATTAAAGCCTTGTATTGTGAGACTACCACTTTGCTACAAACAAATTGGGGTGTATAATCTTTATCTTGACCAATTGACTTAAAATAGAGTAAAGCGGATAGGTTAAGTTTATGAAAAATAAGAATAAAGTGTAAGTGTCAAACATTATTTAATAAGTAATAATATTGTAAAACAAATCAAATTTTAAATTCTACTTTTGGAGTTAATGTTATATTCAACAGCAATAAAGCGCGTAGAGAGCGTGTAACTCCTTTTTGGGCTATCATTGCCTACTTAAAAAAATATTTTAATCGATAGTCCCTGTAATTTGCCTGTGATACAAGGATAACTTTTAATGGTTTTTGAGTTATATTAATTTGTAATCGAATAAAAATTTTTTAATCATGCGGTATAGATTTTACTTTAAATAATTTTTCCTACTTATAAATTTTATAGTAGAATTTGTTTTTTTTTTTATTATCTGAATTCACTATTGAATTAAGTTTCGATGATCGAGATCTTACTTTATTTTTTATTTTCTTTGTACTATACATTTTTACGATCAATACCATAATTAATTAATTTTAAAGTAAAACATTGTTTGGTATAAAATTTACATATATGAATACATAATCAAATAATGATCAAAAATTGCTTACAAATTGTATGTATCGTGTATCGTCAAACATTATTAGAATATTTTTGGAACGTGATATATGTTTCCGCTATAATTTCTGAATAATGAGNCGTGATGTATGTTTCCGCTATAATTTCTGAGTAACATCCTTATGTGGTAACTGATTAACTTATTAAATCGTTAAATTCCGCTATATAAAACATTTGTTTATATTTACTCTACTTTGTGGTGCTAGAGTATTTTTGGCTATTATAAAACTACTAAATGGCATTTACTACAAAACTACATTTTGGCATGAAAATTAGTCGACATACTTTGCAAAAATAAATAGTAATTGTTCATACCAAACTATAGAAATTAAACAGAACTGGGTGTAAAACGTTAAACTTTTTGATGAAAAATCACTTACCGATCAAATTAATTTCAGTTGCAAAATTAAAAATACATAACAACATGGCAAGTGCAGCGCACACGTGAACGACCCTTATTACCATAACGACTTCGGACTTGGTTACAGTCACCTTTGAAGCACGTCTCCTAGCATTATCCGTTTTGGCATCACCAGCCTGACTACTACCTCGGTTAACAAACGCAATATGATTCAAAATCGTACTCAGTGTCATCTCTGAACTCTTCTTATGAAAAAAAAAAAAAAAATGTATTCAAATTATTTTGTTACGTTATTTATGAGGTTTTCAAGCAGTATAGCTCACCAAGTCTGAGAAACTGCTAGAGTGTCTTGTAGTGGGTCTAGTTTCCTGATCGATGGCCCCACTCGATTTAATCCTAAAGCTTCTCTGCGGCTACAAAAAAATAAAGCAAAACGATTTTATTGCCAATAAACCAATCGTGAATAATTTATGAAGATTTACTTGTAAAGGAGTAAGCAGCGACGACGATGCTGTGGGCGACGTTTCCTTATCGGATTCTCCCGTTTTCGGGAATTGCCATGAAATCGATTTAGCAAAACTCTTGCGCCACGAATTTTCTTCTGGTTCATCTGCGGCACTGTTGCCGGGACTCAATGCCAAAAACTGTTTGCTCCCCTCAACGCAGCTCAATCGTTCTACGAATCAGAGAAAATCATTGAAACATACTTAAATGATCAACGGTGCGTCCACTGATGATCACTTACTTTGTATGATGCTCGTGACCTCGCTTGCTCGTCTCGACGGCGTGGTCGGACTTAATAAGGAACCAGATCTTTTTTGCCTTTGCACAAAACTACTAGCTCTTCTGTTCATTCTGTTAAAACTATTTGCAACTTCTGATGGCGCCGTTATTTTTACCGCTATAATCAAATAGTTTCATTGTTTTTAATTTAAGAACAATGCCACTTGAAGCTATGATTTATTGAATAGACAAGCAGGTTTAGTGACTAGTAATTTCAACTTACTCGGTTTATCTTTGGAATCTTTTTGATGTGGAACTAACAAAGCAGGTACTAAAGCAGCGGCCATTGACGTGGCGAGGTTATTGTACGGCGCCAATATACCCAATTGCATTATACCTAAAAAAATCGATTTTTTATATTTTTTCGATGCCAGAATAGTGTATGGTAATTTCGTATTATTTCATACGTTTAATAATAAAAAAAAAAATAAAGTAATAAACGATATTTATTTGCAAATGGAAATTTATATTTTTCTCGTTAACATAATACCGAGAATAAACGAAAAGTGAACCCGAAATCGGTTTACGTGGCAAATGGATAATGATAAAAAATAAATGACGACAAGATTCTGTTCTATTTAATCGACTTTCATGATAACCTTAGGTAACGCTTTAGTGAAGACCACCCAACCGATTCCGCGTGAACGACAATCGTGATATTTAAACTTATCTTAACGACGACTCAACCGTGACTCGAATAATATCTTTCATCTTTTAGGCTTCCTACTTGAAATTGCCTTTGACGTTTTACGACGAGGGGTTAATTTCGAACATTTAATGGGTTTGGTCATCTCACTTATTTTTATAATTTATGCCATAATTGGATTCGAACGGTTGACGCGCTTAAATAAATTTATCTCTCCAATGACTTCTTTTTAAGATCTAGAATGCAGGTTTATCAACTATCGTACAAAATTTTTTTTTTAACTTGCAATTATTACATTAATGTGTTATTTGCGAATAATTAAAACAAATCGCTAAAATCATTATTCCTAACTAGAAGACGGAACTATGCAATGATAGTGTAATATGATGTATATATATATATTGTGATTAATACTAACAATAGACTACTTTGTTGGACAAAGTATTTATTAGTCATTTAAAAGCGTTCTTGAATACAACGCAGAGGGTTAGTCGGATACGAATTCGTTTCAAAACCATTAAATGTACTCACGAAATTCAAAAGGAAACAAGGAGAGTAAGTATTACCACATTTTAATCCTTTGTTAAGGATGAAATCGTCAGATTTAGTGCCTTTAGTGAAGTAATTGGAGAAACGGTAAAACTTTTAAAATAAATTGTATCTATAACCTAGCGGTGCTATCTGTAACATACAGTAAGTGCATGGGATCAGTCAACAGTCGACTTAGTGTTTCAACTAAAAACCTAAAAGTATTAAACTAACCTTTATGTCTGGCGTCGAAATTTTGCAATATTGATTTTGGCATACGTTTAACAAGTGTCATCACTTTGACACCTAAATACAGGAAGAAACAACACAGCCAAATCCCCCAGATGTGTACTAGAATACGAACTGCATTTCCTAATACCTGTATGAGTAAAGTAATTTTTTAGAAAATTTTACAATGTTGTGTATTTAAAAATTACCCATAGTTTGTAGTCTAGGGCGGCGGTGATGACTGCTGGTACCAGTAAACCAACCAATAATATAGAGGCAGTGACAACAACCGATTTGCTTCTCATGTTTGATGGGCCGGCTTGCAGCTGTATGTATGAAAATAAATTACTCTTATTATTTATTTTATTGAACACAAAATGGAGTAAAATCGATTTATTGACAATACAAGTACCCACCTGAGTAAGTTGAATGTAGGAGAGTTGCAACAAAGACAGAGCTGCTACTAAACTACATAAACCCAAGTCCCATGTCAAGTGCGTGACTACTGACGATATGTTCTGTGGGTAAACAAACAATAAATTTTAATGGTGTTGTTCTTATAAGCTAATAATTTATATCATTTACACTCACTCGTCTGGTATTGTATGGGTCGATGAACAAAACAAATGCTCTGCTGACACCAGTGACCAGTAATAACGCATTAATCGCTGCCATAAAAGGTTTCTCCTTTTTGTTTTTTGTTTGTGCCCTTTAACACAAAAGTATAAAAGATAATACTGCAAATTATATTTTACGCTGATAATTATAATGTTAAGAATATAGTAGTAAAAGATAATTATTAGTGATAAATTTGGATGGCTAATATGAGATAAGTAAATGTCAAGTGTCAATTAACGTATAGTTGAATATGTATTCAAGTTAAAATAAAATTTAGGCTTATTAAGTACTGAAATTGTATAAAAAGATGAGTAAGTAACAGTATTATATTGAACCTTAAGTATTATATTCGGTTTAACTTTATTAAGTTAAACTTAATTTTTTTTTTAATAATCATCTTAAATACCTAACTTATTATTATAGAATATTTTATTTATAAAGTTGTAAAAAAACGCAAATGTACAAATAAAGAAAATTTTGACGTATTGAACTAAATAGGTAAATAAAAAGTACTTATTAGCTATATTTAATCATCTTAGTAAAACATGGGTATTTTTTATCATGCATTTGTTATATAAATGAAGTATGAAGAGTTTCATAAATCAACTAAAAATTTCATTATGGGCTTTATTAGGAGGAAAATTATTTATAGCAGCGAAAAAATGAAATAATTTTCTTCAAGAAATGTTCATGTGAAAGATGAGACTTCTATAGATGTCTAAAATCCCTCGAGAATTTGAATTGTTGGGTATTATTTTTTTCAACGAAACTGAGTTATAAGTACTGCTTTTGACGAAAATAACAAAGCCCAACCAATATTGATCATTTTTTTCACTGAGGTATTAAAGGATTTCCAAGATCCCTAGTAGTGAAATGTTTAATTTAGAAATATTTTTTATCTGGCAAAAAAATGATAATTAAATACACACATATTATGTGTAGTTTGAACATAGTTTTTTAAATTAAAATTTTTGTATGTTAATACTCAATATTAACGGTTGAAACAATCTCATCTTAAAAAATCATACATTTCCGTAAAATAAAATGATTTGCGGCTAATTACAAATATTAAAAAAACAATAATAATCTTAATGGTAATACTTTATTGTTTGATTAAATTCCAGAAAAACTAATTTATTCGATATGTCATTAATTTTGTTCCGTGAAGTTGTTTGTTTTATGTCAATAGTTTAATTTTTGTTGAACGTACTATGGATCTATCTGAATCTCGTATTAATCATAAACTGTTATGAAGAATATTTTGGCATTATTTCTGATAAAAATTTAAATTTCAATAAAATACATAGACGTTATGATAGGATGAAATTTTTGCAAATATTTAACATCCACAACTTTTTTTAACTTTTCTTACCTTCGCAAGCGTGAAAAAAAACAAGTTTTCATCAACAATATATTACAGAAAAAGATAAATGTACACTGTTTCTTGAATAACAAAATAAGAAATCAGATTAAAGAATAAACTATTAAAAATAGTCTACCACAGGCTACGCAGAGATATTTTAAACTAGCAAGAAGCACTATTATTAAGCATTTACCATTTCAAAACAACCTAAAGCTGAGATATAAAAAATGAAGTTTCCACTTAACCGACTAAATATTTTGTCCACAGTCATTAATCTACTGTATATTTCCAAGTAAAAATTAATTTTAACTTTAAGCTTTAAGTTACAACTAACAAGACATTTGAAGTTGAAATATAATTTTTTTTAATCATTAGATAATGATTTTCGAAATATTTAGCAAAAAGGTTTTTGAAAAATGAATCTGGTATAATTACATAAAATAATAAATTAGTATTATTTAAATTACAAAATTTTCTGAAACTTTAATTCGATAAAAAAAAAAAAATAATAATTAAAACATATATTAAATTTATTTAATTTGTTGTTTTGAATTTGGAGAAAATATAATTATAAACTTTATAAATAATTAACAGAAATGTATTAGTTATGCTGTAGAATATGTTTATGGCAATAATAAAATTTATAAAAAATAAGGTCAAATCATATTTTTAATTTTATGTAATATTTCATTTTAGTTTATGTTAAGTTTTAGTATATTAAAAGGGTTAGAATGACATAAACAGCTATTTCAATAAATTAAACTGCAATTAGACCTCTAATATAAAAGGACTTCATCAGATCCAATAAAAAACGCGTATAACAGCAAATAGATGTCTGTTGATGACAATTCTTTCTGTATTAATAAAATTTAAAGTGTTATAAAACTTTGTTCTAAAATCCGATTTTTATAATTATTAACAATAAACATAAATATCAGTGAAAGTTTACAGTTTTTCAAAATCAAACTGAATACAATTGAAGAGTATTATTCTTTACCAAGAATAACATCAATCTTTATCAATATCGCGTTAATCCATTGTCAATGATTGCCAAGATTTAAGAAAATAAATTGTTTTAGAACGTCGTCTAATCCTAATAATTAAGATGTGATACTGCGTCATTGATTTTTTGGGACCAAAATGAACTTGGCAAATAGTAAGAGTAGGTTTTGTTATGGCCGTGAATTTTACAATAGCATACTATTTGATTTAATGACTCTAGTATAAGCATCAGTATGAATGATTGGATTTAAGCAGCCAAAATTATAATTTGTAAAAATCAAAGTACATTATTTACATTTTTATTAGACTATTGTAATCGTGGCTCTTCCACGAGTTAAATTCTAATTTATTGATTACATTAACAGAGCTAATTACATTTATTAGCTAATTATATACAGTGTGTTTTACTTATGATAAACCACTTAATTAATCGAAAAATAAAAATAATATAAATCATTTTTTGAATGTTTACTTTTAGTTTACTGTTTCTCTTAATTTTTGAATCTAAGTTTCTTTATGATAATCCCTTATATTTTATAAGAGTGTCAACTTTAATTTTCAAATGGTAACACACATAATTAATTAGCTTATTTCATAGATAATTATCTAATTAAGCAAATGACTGGTCGATAACAACTTTTGGACCAGTATTTCCGAAGTTGCTAACAATTTAAAGTAATTACTGAAGAGTGGGTGCTGCTATTTTTATAACTATATATTTCCCGACTCTACTATTCCTCTCATCCAAGTATAAATGTAGTATACATTAATGAGTACATTAGATTGAATCTAAAAAAGTCAAATAATATTTGATAAATCATTGAATAACAGAGTTGGTGTTTTGCGATAGTTTTAGACAAAATACTAAAAATACGTCAAGCGAACAAAAAATTTTTTTTTAAATCTCATTTTTCACAAAATACCCATTTTAATGTATATAATAAAGTTAAAAGCGTTGTCATTAAATTTTTATGACTGACTTTTTTTGTTCCACCCTAATGTACACACATTGAGTGCTTAATTAGTATACTTAGTATAACTTATAATTGTGTAGCAAATAAATAGTAATTTTCATTGAAATCACATGATAATATGTATAACTTCAAACTATGCATTGATGATTAAAAATGTATAAAAAATATTATTATTAAGTCATACGCCATATCTTTTGTCATCATAGTCTTGTGTTATAAGTTAATCAATTAAAAATTATAATTACTAGTCATGTTGAGAAAAGAAAATCAAATTTATTACTTTGTGTTNTTGAGAAAAAAAAATCAAATTTATTACTTTGTGTCACTTAGTATTGTTTTATATTAACATTTTTAATTTAAATTGATTTTTACGTTATAAACTTCAAATTTATGCGTTCATTATACTGAATATTAATTATCTTTACTAAAGTAATTATAAGAAACAATAAATCATTTTTCGTCAGTATCAACACTATCAATAATATCAGTAATTAAATACATTAAATTTTAATAGTTCGATTTGCATAAAGTTTGAAAATTTCTAGTGCAATGAATGAGAAGGGCGAAATAAATCATAATAATATTAATCACCGTAATCAATTACTGGTAGAAATAGCATAGATAAATAAATAATTATTTATGAAAAAATGGTTGCTATGAAAAGCTTTTGAAATAACTCGCCAACATTTGCAGTTACTATTCGTAAACATGTAAAAATACAATGTTCCATTAAAAGCGGATTTAATAAATATATTTAAAAAATCACCATAATTTCAATTGATACCTAATGACTGTAACTAATTGAATATTTCTATGAGGAAATTATTTGAGTAATGGAATTTTGTTCTAATAATTTCTAATTTAGCATATGTAGCAAAGTTAATACATCAAAGAAAAATGTACTCAAATGTCGTTCTTTGATTTCTTTCAAATGTTCTTTGTAAAAAAATAAAATAAACTCTAAGTATTTTAAACACACAATTTACTAAATAAGTGAGTTATCCTATCATAATAACAATAATGAAATAAAATATGTACAACACAAATTATTTTCATAACTGTCAATGAATGCATAACATTGATATGAAACGGTAGTATTTTTCTAACCTTATGTTCAAAATGGAGAAGATGGCGTAAAATGACAAGATAAAGAACAGACAAGCAAATCCGTATGCGTGTATGTTGAACATCCATACGAGTTGATCTACACACACGTTATCCCATGTCGGATGTGGTGAGTGTTCCGTCTGGCTGGTCACATTACACATACGTTTCCAACTTTCATCCTTACACCCTTCCAAATTTTTATTGCAGTCTAAAAAAAATAAATGGAAAAATATTAAATTGGCGTCACTAAAAATCTTTTTGGTCAAAAATTAAATCGTTTAAGCCCATGGTCTTATAAATCAGTTGTGTAAACGAACCGAATTTCTTTTTTGTTCAGTAATTTTATTTGGTAGTTTCCTCCGAGTGTATATAATAAAATACTTGATTTTCACGAATCAGAACGATATGTGTTTGTAACACCGATTGTAATAAAAGTTTTCGAGTTGATTGCATTACGATTAAATTGGCTACCGCTTTTGAAAGATGTCCTTTGCGTGCCAAATGACCTAATCGATTTTCGCTTTAAAGAGTTTTATACGTAGTTCCTTCGTATATTTTGTATCGACAATCTGTGACTTTGTATTTAGCGGTTTTATACATTTCAAAAGTTATTTAAGTGCGTCGAGTATTTGTCATTAACGAGCAGTGGATTAATTGTTAAATAAAGGATAGTAGTTTAATTTACAATACAGAACACACATCTTTTGAACGACTCTACTTGTATAACAATTCTAGTATTGCGATAAATGAGCGGGCTCTTTTTTTCGTACTAAAAACGTATAGATTGATTTGTTAAGTCATAAAAAAATATTTTTTTCTTTTTAGTATAATTTTAACTTGTACTGTTAAACTGGAAACTAATCGAAGATTCTCTTATTTCCTTTGTTTTAAAGTCTTTACAAAATGACAAGTATTATAGATAAAAAAACACACTATTTGCCACGTTCAGCGAAAACTTTTTTCGTTCGTCAGTAATTATTTTATGTTTAATTAAGCCAAGTTTTTATTCTAAATGATTATTAGTAAGTACAGCCATGTAAATTAAAACATTCTTTAATTAAAAATATATATTTTTTTATGTAATACAGGATGATTCGTTTAACGCTAGCTAATATAAGAAAATTAGTTTTTGTTTTTTTTCCGATTTATCAGTTATTAGTTAATATTTACCATTCATATAACTTTTCAAATTTATTTTTTGAATATCAGCATACATATTTAACTAGTTTTTAATATAGATAATGGTGTAATTAAGAAAATGACTGGTCGATAACAATTTATGGACTAGTACTTCAAAAGTTGTTAACATTTTTTTTACTTAGACAACAGGAGAGGTGCGGCCTAGAAATATTTAGGGATAATTATTGTTATAGCGAGGAAATTTTTCTTTCTTTGGCTGCTCATCGAAGCTAAAATACAGTTGACACCCTTATTAGTTATAATGTATAAATTAAAAAAATTAATAAATGACTAATAAATTAAGAAATATTTGAAACTAAAAAATAATTTTCTTAACATAATTATTATTAAAAGAGAAATGGAGTTGCTAGCTTTAAAATATGCGCACTGGACACAAGAAGACTTCTTTGTCTCTTTAAAAAAAAGTAGGTTACCTCAATGGAAAAAATCGTAATAATGTACCTTTAGAATTTCNAAGTAGGTTACCTCAATGGAAAAAATCGTAATAAATGTACCTTTAGAATTTCTATTATTAAGTATCTTTTAAAATGTTAAGAATCTCGTTTTTTACTTTTACTAAAACGTCTGTGCGTACGGATCTCTGTGCGGATGGGAACCTTATAAGTTATTTATCGCTTGTTCTCAGAGCGTTTATTACTCATTGTAAGTTGCCGCCGAGTAACTTCATCGAAATTCAAACTCTGCTGTGCCAATGCGGTGAACAACCAAGTGCGCTCTAAACCGGTCGGTGGTACTTGTGTCAGCTACTGACTCGTGTCTAGAATTACTAACGACTCCCTTAGGGATAAGTTAAATGCATAACTTTGGAGATCCGCTCATACATCGTTGGTGAGAGTCAATGAGAAGGTATACCGTTACATTGGCATCGTGTAGACTGATTGCATAAGTACTTTTTATGTCACGTGTTTTTACATTTGCGGACGTTCATTTTATTATTAGTTTTTGTTTGTTTCTGTTGTCCTCGAGCAGCTGTGATTGACACGAGATAATAATTATTGTTATTATTTGAGTTCACTGGGTTTTCTCGCTGCCACAGGAAACCTCGTCGGAACACACGCACTTAGATTGTTACGCAACAGCCTGAGTTTCTACTGTGTTATTTGACATTCACAACTTTGAATAGAAAAACTTTTTTCAAAAACTTCTTCGACGACATGGAAGTCGTATTAAAACGCGTTGGGTCGACACAATCAAAACGACGACCAAAGTGGAGGTTTATGAGGTTTGCGGTATAGTTTCGAACCGATGTAACTTGCAAAGTTATACACGTATACATTATTAACACACGCTATTAATTATTTCTGTAACAAAAATTTACGAAATATACATGCCACCCACTATTATTTTAAATATTTATCGTCTGTCCTCGTGTAAATGAACTCTATGAATTCGTTTTTGATTACATAATAGTACACGTGGTTTTCGACATACAATGTTTACATAATATTTATCATTTAAAGAAATCTAAATGAAATTTTAGCACCCTGTTGGTTACTGCCAATATAATATATATATAAACAATGTTAAAACCTCTTATACTGTNATATATAAACAATGTTAAAACCTCTTTTACTGCACCGTAACTCGCAAAGCACTTCGTTATTATGCTAATGGCAATCGAGTTAGTTTCTGTAATTGAAAATACCTAATATTGTCTAACGGTAACGTGTTAGAGAAAGACATTGTCGTTATTAAATTAATTAAATTTAATAAAGCGTCCATTTCCTCTTTGGAATGAATCGACTACAAGGAATAAGTTAATAAAGCTTTATTGTGAATTTTATTTCAATCAATTCGCGATAATTATTAATGTGACTACGTGGTCTAGTTAGAGTTTGTTAGAAACACGTGGCTTGTCGAAGAGTATATTATGTACATATAAATTAGAGTCATAGTCACGTACGTTCTTATTAGAATTCGATTCGGTCGGAAACGGAACATTGTTGGGGTTTCAAAGTTAAGTTTGTTAGGTAAGGTTAACGAGCGCTAAACAATGTTTAATATTTTACGGTGGCATTGATTTTGATAATTTACCGTCTTCCTAGAGATTAAGAAAACTTCGACCAATTGTGCCTTACGCCGTAGAATCTAAAACGATTATGGTCAACATATTGAGTTGTGTGGAAATCTATAAGTATAAAACTCTGTCCGACCTTTTGTGATTACAGGATTTAATAAATCTCTTTAGGGTTTAGATGCGAAATTCCGAGTCAGGTTTTTACGTTCAAACTTCTAATTAATTAAAAATATTCATAAGAAAAACGTACTCCTTAATCGTGTCTAATATATTACAATCGGTCAAACTTGTTTTGTCGGGTAAAATTCAGACAATATGGCGGCTGTCAAAAGTGTAACAAGAATGATTGGGGCCAATATTTCATCGGTGAATTCGATTAACAGATATATAGATGATAATATACTATGGATTTTCATTGTTAATTTTAATGTACAATATTTCATTGTACACCA